TTCTAGCCACATCAGTGATCCCTGACATTTAATATCAATTGCAACATTTTTGCAGGAATTGTTCGTATTGTTCAGGGAGACATGAGTTTTACCGTTTGCAGAGGTCTGTTCACGGGGGGCCCATGGCCATTGTGTGTCCTTTTAAGGTCAAAGTCACAACTTGAGGTGGAGCGAGGCAAACGTTGTGCAGTTGAACTAACAGCCATTGCTGATTCTTGTTGGGTTTTGCGTCTGAGATGTAGAAGGCGAGCAAAGCCAAAATGGGAAATCACGCACCTTGAATTTTTACCTGTTCTGTCCCCGTCTCACACACGCACACAAAGAGACAGCCAGGGGTTAAATAAAACTGGCAGACAACAAATTCTTTCAATAAGAGGATTGGCAGCAACCCAGTAGCTGCTTGCCAAGAACTTTACTCATAAAGGGAGGGGTTGTTCCTCCGTCACATAAACCCAAACAAGATACACACAGTTCAAGATTGTCAAGTCCAGTCTGTATTAAATCCAAGGCAGATAACGTTGTTTCCAAAGATACAATGTGACTCGCTAGTAGTTTAGTTTTCTCCGTCACAGAGTCTGACTGGCCACCTCATCCCCTTTTATCCCCTGTGGGGTGTGGTCCAGTGACTCAGCCTAATCTCTGGCACGCCTCCTCTTCTGCTGCGCGTGCCTGTCTCTCTGACGCTGGCGTGGATCCAGCCAAGACTTATCTCCGTCACTGTCCGACTGCGAGGAGATACCTGGCTCCTGGCCAATCTCTTCTCCTTCGGGAGACACCTGAGGCATTGCCAGAGAGGAGGGTCCTGGAGAGGGAGGCCTAGCCAACTCCTCTCCTTCATGTTCGGAGCCTTCTCCCTCTGATAAGTCGGCCTCGGGGGTCAGAGTCACAACATTACCTGCCCAACTGTGTTTGTAGATTCTGTATGGATTACCAGCGAGAGGGGCAGCAAGCAAATTAAATAAGTAAGTAAGTAAACAAACAAACAAACAAACAAACAACAAAGATGGCTTCAGGGGTGCCTGCAGGGTGTGGTCTAAAACACACATTAAAAACAAAAAACAGGTGAGATTTTATCGCACTGTTGTGGTCGCCATCTTGCGTTTTTTCTCCCGTATCCTGAGGACATACCAGGATCTAAGTAGCAAGATGTGATCTAGAAACATTGGAGGGAGGATGTTTGTGTGTGGGGGGGGGATACACCTTTTCCACCCAAGCGTCACGCATGTCGTAGGCGCACAGCTGCGTAGCTCTGAGAAAAAACCATCCCAGGGACCGCAGTAGAATCCAAATTTGCAAATAGTTCTATGAATGCAACACTTCAGTGTTAAAATCTTCGGCTTGCCAGATAAGAAAAAGCAAATAACAATCTTCAATCAATCAGAATAGAGCTGGAAGGGACCTTGGAGGTCTTCTAGTCCATCCCTCCTGGTCAATCAGGAGGCCCTGTACTACTTCAGACAAGTGGATGTCCAGTCTCTTCTGAAGGACATCCAGTGTTGAAGCACCCACAACTTCTGGAAGCAAAGCTATTCCCCTGATTCTTCATTTCTCCCTAAGACAAGCCCAAGAGAATAAGAATACATTATTCATCCAGCCTCAGGCTAAGTGACACGAACGATAAGCGTGTTGGGCTGGGCTGGGCTCCGAAGGGAAAGGGCTCAGAGTGCCTCGCTTTAGAAGATAGCATGACAGAATTGGAAGGGACCTTGGAGGTCTTCTAGTCCAGCCCTCAGCTCAAGCAGGAGACCCTATGCTATTCCAGATAAGTGACTGTCCAGTCCCTTCTTAAAAGCCTCCAGTGATGAAGCCCCTACAAGTTCTGAAGGCGAGCTCTTCCACTGGTTGATTGTCCTCACTGTTAGGAAGTTTCTCCTTAATTCCAGGTTGCTTCTCTCCTTGATGAGTTTCCATCCATTGCTTCTTGACCTGCCTTCTGGTGCTTTGGAAAATAAGTTGACCCCTTCCTCTTTGTGGCAGCCCCTCAAATACTGGAAGACTTCTATCATGTCCCCCCCTGGTCCTGCTTAGAAGCAAACTAGAAGTGGTTAGAAGCAATTTGGAAGGAGGACTAAGGGGCCTAGTCCTTCTAGATTGCTTCTAACCACAGAAGCAATCTCAGTGTGAACATAGTTGCTTTTAAATCAAATTTTGTGTTTAGAATATTCATTTGTAATGTTATTAATCTCCAAGATGGGAAGCTGCTCGTGACCCCTTCTTAAAAAACTTGGTTTGAGGCAGACAAAAGCCAAACACCTCCAAGCTGTATTTGACAGAAACTCTGAAATGATTACTCGGGAATTAAATGAAAGCTGCGGTTTTTAATTTATCCCTCAAGCTTGAGGCACAGTAAAGCCAGGATGATGGTGTCCCTGAGAGGCAAATGGTTCTTTTGTGTTTATTACAATCGTCGTCTTTCCAAATTATTTTCTTTTGCAGCAAGAGCCATTTCAGGCCCTTTGCACTTCAGGGTGCACAGAATCCCTCTGCCAACACATCTGTCCCCAATTTTGTTCTTATTTAAAGTGGTTGCATCGTCTCCTATAAATATTGTGCCAGAATGAGGGACTCAAGGAATATCAGGAAACAATGTCAATATAAATCGTAAGGATACCAGCAACAAAATTACAGTCTTACAGTCATAAGTGGAAGGAGGATAGAAGGATATAAATAATATATCTCAGATTTTTAACCAAGAAAAAGTACCATTCAGATATCTCTGAATAAGTCAGATCAGGAAAAGACATCAACTTTAGGTACTGAATAAAGGTTAAAGGAGATAACAGAATTTAGGAAGCCTGTATCAGGTGAGAAATATCAGATCCACACCTGAAGATCCAATGAAAACTGATTTATTACTTATCAGCCTATGCATAGGAATCTTAACTAATGATTAGCACCTGTTTGGAGTTAGATAACAGTCAATAGAATTCAAAGAAGGTTGGACTTAAGTTTGCTTATGGCTACCTAGGGATTCTAGGTTAATTCCTCTTTTGACTCCACCCCCCTCCGGATCTACTACTCCTTTTCTCACAGCCTGCCAGAATTTCCTTCAAAGAGGCCAGAGTCAAAGTGAGGTTGAATTTCTTTCTCACACCTTTGTCCTAAGAATTCCTCCATTCCCTTGTTGAAGTTATTTCAGCATTCCTCTACAGGGGGATGTTATTGAACTTATTAATAAAATTTTCAGCACTCTTTCTTTGTATCTATTACTTTTTTTAAAAAAAAAAATCCTCCTATAAATGGATTGTAGACCAAATCTACTTTCTCGAGTGTCTCTTTCAGCAAAGAAAAGACAGCAGGCAGAAGACCAATTTTGTGATACTACCGTAAGAGGATTAAGAATTTGGTAAGAAAGGAGAGGCCTCATCCTTGCCGCATTTTAACTGACTCTGCAAAATATGACAAAAAAAAACAAAATTAAAATTCTTAGCCACAGACAAGAGAAAGAAGAGCTGGTGGATTGCATGAAATGACTATGATGCCAGGTTTTGTGCCTCAGCTGTAAGCCATACAATTACCTACACATTATATATCTGTAATATGTATGTATGTATGCATGTATGTACTTAGCACCTTTATTTTTAATATTGAACATTACAAATAATATTCTGGGACTCTCGCAATTGGAGGGAGATTCCATCAGTGCGTGAGAAAATATTGTTTATGGGTTCCTAACCGAGGATTGAACTGACATTGTTAGTTTAGGCTCAGTGATGATTAAACCTCCTTTTTTTCCCCTGTCACACCAGTTAGGCACCAAGTTTTGACATCCAAGGAATCACAATAATAAGCCATTCCATTGAGGGATCTTGGATGTTTTTTTATCGTGTTTTATTTACTTTCTGTTGCTTTGGTTTAAGCTGACAAATGTACAGTGATCGCATCTGTTTGTCTGGAAAATATTGAAGGCAATTAATTATTTTGGCCTTTGAAAAAGTTGCCCCTTCTATCTGCTGCTTCCTTTCTGTAAACCAGGCGTGGTACTTCCATAATTGCAATGCGTAGGAGGTGTTTTCATATGTTAGCAATGTTGCTAATTAAGGGAGCAATTGAAGAAAATGATAGAAATAGAGAGTTGAGTTCAGGCATACACAGCCCAATAGTTTGATTTGCCAATTTTTAAACATTTTTGGCAAAAATTGGTCCTGAATCATAACTATATTTTGGAAAAAGGCAAACTGAAGGCAAGTTTGCATGGGAACCATAAGCTCTTCCTACTTCTGCCTCCTGCAAGCTGGACTGAAGATTTTGACTCTGGTGAGAAGATCCACTCAAGGTTCTTGAGTTCTAGCCTTGTATTGAGAACTGGGATGAGTTTGAAGCAGTCCCAATGCTGCTTTTTTTTCCAAGAGGTAATTGGACTTTCTGGTTTTTCTTTGGAGACCAAGAAGCTTCTTCATCCACTGGATGGCGGGGAATGGAGGTTGAAGAACCTCCATGGATGAGAAGCAAAACCTCTTCAAAGAAAAACCAGAAAGTCCAGTTGCCTCTTGAAAAAAGCATCTTTGGGACAACCATGGCCTGGATGATGGACAATCTCCACAGACATTTTAACTCTAGATATACACCGTGTCGGTTTCTTATCCTGCTCTACCTTACAGGCTTTCTCTTGCCTTTTCCCAACATGTAAGGTGAAGAGCTTTGGAGCTGATAGGTGGAGAAAGAAAGAAATGCTCAATAGAAGACACTCTGTATACATCTCACTTAGCAAATGTTTTACTGAACAGCGGAAATGTTGGCCTCAACTGTGGTTGCAAGTTGAAGATTATCTGTAGTCATCTTGCACTTTTTTTTTCAAACGTGTAAACGCCGTGGCTACGAGACACATTTTTGCTCTTGAGCAATGCTGTTGAATCCACCAGCCCTGTCAAGATCCTGTTTGCATGTTTGGGAGCAAACCTTGGTAGTCATGGAGCTAAGAAAAGGACAAGAATTGAAAAGACATCTGCTTAATTAAAAAGAAAAGAACAAGCCCTGAAAGGAAAACCTGACATGTCCTGTTAATATTGTTACACACACACTCGTTTTATTTGTGCGGTGCGCAATTAGGATGCCAGCCATCTGGTAGAGATTGTGGAAGCGCAATAACGCACAGCCTTATCGCGAAGTTGTTATGAACCATATTAGTGAGTATCTCGCGCAAAGGAGCTTGATGGATGATAACAATTCGGAGAAAATTAGATTTTTGTGGCAGTAGGAAAACATGAAGCCGGAAGAAGATGACGTCCGAATTGATACCAACTGTTTTTCCCTCTCGTCAGGCCAGTCCTTATCTGTAAAGAATATAATTTTAATATAAGAACATGCATATAATCCTCCAGAGAAGCACGAATAATATTATTTAATTGAAATAGAAAGCGAAAGGAACCTGGAGTCGCTCTTTCCTTATTCCCCACCATTTTTATTTTAATTTTTGGAAGTGAAGAGTTGTCAAGAATTCCTCTATTTGCTGGCATATAATTCTTTAGTGCATCTTTTGTTCCACGCTTTTTTCCTAATGGAGAGGAAGCCATGCCAAGGAGCCAAGGGAACGCTGGATGTGTGACTGAGTTGTCTCATGCTCATCTGCAAAGCATTGGCTGAAATTAGGGCCATACTAATTCCAACATCTCGGATCCAGGAGGTCGTAACTAAGACAAAATGGAACTACCATCATAATAATTGAAAATGACCCACCCACCCCCAGAAGAGAAGAAGCTGAGACACCCCCTTGCCCAACCAATATGGCAGACAAATTCATGTTTACTTTTCCACCTCTGAAAACAGAACATTCCCCTCGAACCAAAATTATCTTGAGTTTATCATCTGATGATTCATGGTGACTCCATGGGGTTGTTCTTAGCAAAAGTGGATTTACCGTTTTCTAAACATCACAGCCTAGTCTACAGTCCTGGTGTTTCCTAGAAAAATCCCATCCAGATATTATTCAAGCTTAAACCTGATTAGAATCTGAGCCCTCACGTCAAGCTCACCTCCTGGTGACTTTGTATGTTCACGCAGCTTCCTTCTCAACAAACCAGAATTTGTCAAGGTCTTTTCCTGGAGTAGAATATATATGTAGCTCTCCAATAGATCATTCTGGAAATATATTTGTTTCTTTGTTTGTTTAATTCGTTAGGAAACTGCCTGACTCTCAAATAACTCTGGGTGGCATCTACAAAGACAAAAAATAAAATAAAATGAAAAAGAAAGTCAAAATTCCTGGGATGGATTTTGTTATGGAATAGCAAAATTGGAAGGGACCTTGGAGGTCATCTAGTCCAACCCCCCTGCCCAAGCAGGAGACCCTACCTAGACCATTCTGGACAAATGCTGGTCAACTAATCAATCCCTTGTTGTTTGAGATGTTCGTCAGACATTCATAAGGTGGACGTTCTGTTTTACTCCCTACGTTGGTTGTATTTTGTGTGACGGATGGTGTTGATGGCTGGATTGTGGGGCTTCTTTGGAAAAGGGTCATTCATGCAGTTGGTTTTTGGTTATACGGTTGCTAAGGAGATGCTCTAGATTTTCTAGGTGTCAATTGCTTCCTTTGTGATGAAATGGTATGGGTGTTAATTACTGTGTAAGGAGCTCATGCTTTAAAGTTTGATTTTTGGTTTTGTCCTTTATCAACCCATAGATCGGATCTAAGCTCATGTGGGTTAGGCCCATCTCAGCCACAGGATGAGATTTCTAGGCAAGGGACTTGAATTTTTAGATTTGGCTCAGGTTAAGATGCCCATTTTTTTACCTGTAGAAGTTGTGGCCGTGGTTGTCTATGTAGAGGTAGATCAATGAAGTTGCATCATGACTTTTACGAGCTACTTGGTGTTTGTGGATATGCAGCTAGTCCTCGACTTAACAACAGTTCATTTAGTCACTTAACAAGTGTTTCACTTCAAAATTTTGGGCTCCGTTGTGGTCGTAAGTTGAGGAGTACCTACCTTTTTGGATATCTGCAGAAAAAGAAGAGAACAGATTTTTTTTCTCTTTTCCTTTCCTTGTTATTTCTGTTTTTGTGATTTGTCTGCTGAAAACGTTATTGATTTGGTTGCCTGTTTTTTTATAGGGATTTGCTTTATTGAGCTGTTTAAGAGTTCTTTTGATTTGGGTCTGTTTTGTGCTCTGCTCACATTGACTTCAGCATGGCCTCTGTTGTTTGGGGAGACTTGTAATAGTTTTGTCCCTCCTCACTGCTTTCATTTGTCCTTTCATAGATAAGATGGTTTTGTTGCTTTTGGTATCGTTTCTTTGTTATACTTCTTCATTTATTCCAGACACTGTTTTATAAATACAGGAATATAAGCACAGCTTGGGTATAATTTTCCATGCACGATAAACTGTGATAGGGCATATTTTATTAGTCTGATTTCTCATGTAAACAAGGTCAACGAGACAAGACAGAACTTGTTGTTGGAATGCAAGGCTTTGCTAGAAGCTGAAATTTGTTTAAAAATAGTTGCCACAAAATGAACAAAGATATAGAAGCTGAACATAAAGCACTCCAGCTACGGAATTGAAATGTTGGCAAAAACATGATTTATTTTATAACAAAAAATTTTTTTTGAACTTGATCTAAAATGTTGAGAGAGAAAAAAAAAGACAGTATAAAAAGTGGAAAAATCATTGCAACTGCTCGATTGGAGAATGTCACAAACTCGTTTTTGAGAGGTCTCTTGGTGAACTCTGAGCTTTCTTGCAGACGTTTCATGACCCAAACTAAATAACATTCTCAGTACTAATAAGGAGTGGGGTTACATAAGCAAAACCCAACTCCTTACTATCTAGTTGATGTTAGCTGGGTAATGAAACGCCTGCAGGAAAACAGTAGAGTAAGTAGAGATTCTACTTTGTAAGTAGACATTGTCTGAAATGATATAGGCTTGAGGAGGGGTTGGACTAGAAGACCTCCAAGGTCCCTTCCAACTCTGTTGTTCCGTTATTCTAACAATGTTCTGCTTTAATTTTACATTAAATAGAAACATTTGCAGCAATGTCAGATCTAAGTGCGTAAGAATTAAAGGAAGAGAACGTTTAATCAGTCTGATTGCTGATGATATGTTGATTTTTGTTATATAAATCAGATAGGAAGAGCTGAAATGAATATACACAAATGTGCAGTTATACTAATGAATGTTGACAGTTTTGTGTGCATCTTCAGATCAAGAGTGATGGTTTTAAATATTTAGGATTATCCACCACAAAGGTTCCAGCATTGAATGGAAGATATACCCCAGGCACACACACAGATGCTCAGATCCAGATACATATCCGAAGGTGTGTGAGTACATCAGGAGTGGGTTCTACTTACCTTTACTACCAGTTCCCAATGGGGCCGCCAGCCCCAGGTTCATTTAACAACTGGGTTACTAATTTAACAACTGCAGTGATTCACTTAACATCAGTGGCATGAAAAGTCAAAAAATGGGGCAAGCCTCACTTAACAAAGGTTTCACTTAGCAACATAAATTTTGGTCGTAAGTCAAGGACTACCTGTACACTATCATGCTAAGTTGCATTTTAGTTTAAAGCTGCTGTGGGGAAATGGTCCTTCTTTGTTTGTAGTAGCTTCTCACATCTATCACAATAGCTAATATCCAACCATTTCTGAACAAGGATCAGAATTCATCTAAATAAAGATACTGATGCCTCAGTTCTTTGCAAAGCTTGATGTGCATTTCTGTGAGTTAGAAGAGTGATTTCAAGGCTGTGAAAGCAACAGAGGGACTCTCCATTGTTAACTGCTACTATAAAGCAGAGAACATCGTATGAAATAAAAAGAGCAAAGTGACAATACGGAACTGAGTCACATTTTTCATACCAAGTCCAGTTTTCCTTTCTTCTGTTAGAAAGTCGACTGTTTCATTATTGTACCCTTTGAAATTTTGAAACAATAGCTTTGAAAACCCAATAAGGAAATTATTGTAATGATAGATGAGTTTTTTATGTGGATAGATTAGGTAGCCAGATGGGCAGATAAATAGATAGTATGAAAAGTTTTAAAAGGAACATAAAATGAACACGAATTAATACAACATAAATAGAACAAAGAAAGACAAAGAAAAAAAATGCAAAAAAAGAATGAAAAGAAATAGAAAGAGGCTTCTGATTTCCTTTGCAGCAAATTAAAGTTTGATTCCAAAATTATCTCTTACTTTGTGATTGCAAAAATACCCTCATTTTTCTATTATCCATTTTTTCCCTAATCATTCAAAACATAACTCGCAACTGCACTTTTCTCTAATTCTTGCAAAAACTTTATAAGTGGTTGCCAATCAGCCATAAATGTCGGTGCCGCCTTTTCTCTAATCAAAGAAGTTAATTTAGCCATCTCTGCTAATTCCACCAATCTTTTTTTCCATTTTGGAAAACAGATTCAAACTTTTCCAGTTTTGCTCGTATAATAATCTCACTGCAGTTGTCACACATTAAAAGCAAAGTTCCCTGACTTTTCTATCTGGATAGAAAGATTTCCTGGAGATTCGCTATTGATTGTATTTTGTACAATATGAGTACAGTGTTTTCACGTATTCAGATATCATTAAAAAAAAATGTAAAACGGAAAAAAATAAGAATAAGGTTATTCAGTATTTCTGCTTTTGAGTCCAGACTGAAAGCTTGATTCTCGGAAAAGGAGGAAATTCTTGAAAAATTCCTTGTTAGGTTGAATGAGTAAAAACATTGCAAAAAGAAGACTTGTTTTGCAGACATTGAAAATAAAAGATATAATTAAGAAGCCCAGATAGTAGTCATTTATTTTGTAGTTGGGAATGCTTCAGGTTTTGATAGCCAAATCTGGCTTTGGGATTGCCTTCCCAATAAGGAACCAAGTTGGAAGATCATTTAAAAGCAGTTTATTGAGGGTCATTGGGAGGTGAACTGCTGGGGAGGGTCTTGTGTGTGTTGGGTGCCATTACTGGTTGTTTGTGTGGTTGCTTTGGATTCTGAGGGGTCCGTAGGCTGGTTGTAGGTCAGTGTGTCTGTTGATGGAATGGCTTGTGGAGTGCTAGGCTTCGATGAACTCACCAGCATGGCTGATGATTTTTGTGTTGCTCCAATTGAACTGGTGCTGTTTGGTGTTGGTGTGGGTAGAGATGAAGGATTTGGGATCGTGGCTTGTGATGGCCAGCCAGTGTTTGTGGATCCTGGTTTTCAACTGACGTGATCTTTGTCCCACGTAGAACTGGTTGCAATGGTTACAGTTGATTTTGTAGATTATAGTTAGAAGATTGCAGACTGTAAGCATACATTGCTAACATTTTACATCAGAATATAATTGTCTAAGGGCAAGGCCTTGCAAAACATTTCAGTAGCAAATCTTCCAGGAGTAACATAACAGTGATGTGTTTATGACCGGGGCGAACTATAAGGTGAACTTTTGATATTAGTCTTTCCATTCAGCACAAAAAGACGTCAGGCTGACATTTGAAGTCATTGGTTCTTGTATTTCTTTGGCCATAAATCAAACAGGGCAATGCTTTAGGAATGTCTAATCTTCACGAAATACATTATTGCACCTCATTTTGGTTCTATATCTGTTTTGCTTAGATTATTTCCTAAACAGCGAAAAATAGACTCATCCAGAGGATAAGAATGAAGGTTTTGTTGAAGTGAACCTCTGAGTACCTCAGGCAAAGGAGTTTCTTGTACTAGGGCCTTTTAAAATAATCAAACATATCTTCCTGGTCTTCAGGATGTCACCCATTAACTACTGTAGGTCTTTGAGTAAATACTCTATGTGTATATAATCGCAGTAGCAAAGATTGCTGTTTCTCTGTGCTTAATGACAATCTAGTCTAGTTGTGCTCCTGAATATATTGATTTTTAAATGTCATCCTTACCCAGACAAATAGGTTTCTACATTTGCTCTGTCTGCAGCTGGCCTTCTGTTCTCTTCCCTAAAGAGATACTAATCTTGTTTGTATTTTTTTTAATAGCCATGTCAAAGGCCTGGATGTATTCGATGAGTAACACAATCATGAGCAACAAGCATTTTTCGCAACACGAGAAAATGCTGGAAACAGTTCTCCTGATCTCTCCAGTTCAGATTTTCTCTGCAATCCTTCTAGTCACTGAATATGTTTTCCATTCTAGGCATGTATTCAAATGAATTCTTCTTGTTTATTTATTACAGCATTTACCCAATTCCATCACTCTCCATTCTGGGCAGCATACAATATTAAAATAAGGGTGGAACTGTATAAAAGCAGAGAGAAATAATGCCGTCTTGAACAGATCCATCATTCCACAAGGAGGCTACCCCACGGCCTAGCCCAAGACCTGGGGGAACAGCCAGATTTTAAGGGCTCTTTTAAATATGGCTGGGTGGAGAGGTATGGAAGTCGACAAGCTTCTTTAGTCCCTTCAGGCTCCACTGTTTCATTGATGGGAGCTGAACATGATGATGCAACTACGGGAGACACACCAGGGGTGAAATCCAGCAGGTTCTGACAGGTTCTGGAGAACCGGTAGCGGAAATTTTGAGTAGTTCGGAGAACTGGCAAATACCACCTCTGGCTGGCCCGAGTGGGGTGGAAATGGAGATTTTGCAATATCCTTCCTCCAGGAGTGGGGAGGGAATGGGGATTTTGCAGTATCCTTCCCCTGGAGTGGGGAGGGAATGGGGATTTTGCAGAATCCTTCCTATAGAGGTCATGTAGGGGTTACGTAGGGGTCATAGCTGGCTCTATAGGCAAAAGAGGAAATGCAAATCCTAGGTGTTTGTCTGAGCTCATTTGGCCAACTTTTTGTTTGTTGCTTATCTGAGTTTCTGTGACTTTGAAGTTTGGACTGCTCTGGGATGGTGCAATGAAGTTGGGCAATTCCTACTGTGGCTTAATGGCTTTCGTCCTGTTTTGGATCTTGAGTGAGGGGGCTGCTTCTAATCCTGCCATTCTGCCTTTATTCAGACTTTGCTGCAGGGAGTTTCAAAACATCCTGTTTTGACTGGATTTCTGCCTGCAGTATTTGCTTTGCCTATGAATAGAGCTATCTAGATACTTGTCTTCCTCTTCCAATAAGCTCTTTATCTCTTAAGTGCTGGCATCTGCTGTGAGCTATTAAGGAAAGTGGGGGCTGCTTTCTTCCTTTAAAAAAACATGTTTCTCCATTGCTCCCTTTGGGGAAATATAATATTCTGCCTTTTTTTAATATTTCCCAAAATATGTCATTCTTCTAAGAAGCGGGTAGGCGCTGACTTTCTACAGAACTTATAAGTAATAACCAGAACCTTCTTCCCTGTGAGGCATCATCCATCAAGATACAACTCCTTGATTAGCTGAAACTAAACGCAACGTTGGTCCGGTTTATGAAAATGCACAAACAATTTAAAACAAAATGCAAGGAGAGAGGCAATATGGTGTAATTGAGGAGACGGCAGTGATGTGTCATGTGTTGTACAGATAAGTCCTTGTCTTACGACCACAACTGAGTCCCAAATCTCGGTTGTTAAGTGAGTTCTCCTGCTTTGTGCAGCTCTCGTATGTGTCTTTGTAGCTCCTCTGGGTCTTGTGAGATGAGAATAACAGCGTCTGCAAATCTTAAGTGATTTAAATAGGTGCCATTGATTTATTTATTTTTTATTCCAGGTTTTGCCCCGTCCAATTTGCAAAATACTTCTTCAAGGCAGGCTGAGAAAAGGAGGGGTGATATTGTGTCGCCGTGCCGTATACCTCATTTTATGTTGATTTCTACTTTGAGATCATTAAGGCAAATTGTCACCATTGTATTTTCATATATTGATCGTAGTAAGTTTATGCAAGGAGTGCCTTGCAATCATTATAAACAGTAAACAGGTACACATCAGTAATTCCTCTCTGTAGCCGCAGATACTAAAATAAATGCTAGCTAAGGAACAGGTGGAAATGAAAGCATAGACGAAGGCAAGCCAACTCAGGCAGAAATTCTTGAATTAAGGTAATCTCAGCATTTCCACTTAGTTCTAAATCAAAGAATGCTTAGAATTTTTTAATGGCGAGAAATAACAGAACACACTTGTCCTAAACATGTTTTTCTCTTTCCAGTAGAGAATAAATGAAAAGTAAAAACATGGAGAGCTTTTATGATAATGAAGGGACATAATAATAATAATAATAATAGAATGGGTAGAATTAGTGGGACATAATAGTAGAGTCGGTAGAATTGGTTTGACTTGCTGCTTTGCTTCTGTATCTGCCATTTGCTTCTACCAGTGATCTGTTATCTTGTTTTTTTGTACAACTCCGTGCCTGGTGGATATCTCAAGAAGCGGGATTGGCAGGGTTACATCGGGGAAATACCTGTGTTGCTAAGCACTCAGCCTCCCTGTTCCTTGCTGCACAGTCAATGCAGGACTACAAGGAAGGCAAGGGCCAGGGGGCCAGAATTTGATACTAAGCGGATGTCTCTGAAGTAGAAAAGGACGCCATACCTTCCCCAACGTGTGGCTATTCCTTACATGCATTGTATGTTCTGGATATAGTTTCACCCAGTATTTTGTTTTGGCCAAAAATAAAATCTGCTTCTTTTTGCAAGCCTCGTCTTGAGTCTCACTCTCTTTGGCATCTCAGTGGCTCAGAGAAACTTCTGGGACCTTACAATGGAATGGTGATTTAAAATCAGGCGGCCACTTTTCTGTTTCATATTGTATTTAGTCTGTCTAGAGGCTTATTATATCTTCCTTGGTTTCTCTTGAAAATCATTCTGCTGAAGGTTTTTTTTTTTTTTAATAGTTTTGCTTTGTTTTGTTTCAGAACAACATGATTTTGCCATCTCGGAGCGGAGAAAGTTTATTTTCAGCTCTGAAGGATATTGGAGAAATAAAATAATGTTAGAGTTACTTTGTGGGGTGTAACCTGGAGAAATATGGGATTTCCCCTGCATTTATTTTCCTGAGTATAATCTATCCCTAGATGCTTTTTAAAAGTAATTTAGGATGAAGGTCCAGATATTTTTCCACCTGGCCGAAATCAATCAGTTATTCATTGGTCTGACATCTCGCAGATACACCTACCTTGTAGATGAATGTCCAACTTATATATGCTCCGATTTGCAAACTGAAACCGAATCGCATGCAATAATAAAATGTCCACTTTATACACAATGGTGAATGACTCTCGTACGACCTATTGTTGTAAAACAGGGGTCTTTTTATGACCATGAGGTGACTGGACCCCTTCTTTATGACCAATTTTCAGAGCCCCTGAAGAAGTTTGAAAAAATGTATCAGTCGCTATGGCTTCTAGAATTTATCAGTCGTTATTGTCCTCTTCAGGTTACAAATTGACTGAGGTCAATTGTCTTCTGCTTTTTTAAAACTATCCATGTATGTGTTTTATCTGTCTTTGATGTGTTTTTAATGACTAGTTATGGACCTTCCCTAATTTGTGACAGTTCTGGACAATCAGGGGGAAAAATTCCTTGGTGGGAGGAACCGATTATTCCAAATACTTTTTGAAGTTTCTGATGATGTTGAATGGCATTTTCTGTTTCAGATTCAGATTCTGTAGGAGGTTAGGCCATCTCATCACAAGTTTAAAAAATGGGGCAGAGATTCAAGTCGATGGTCAAGGCTGCCATCTTGACTCTTTTTGGATTCTCCACTATTTTTGCTTTCTTCATGAGACACGACTATGTGATGAAATAAGGGTGTTTAATTAATAAGAAGCATAAGGTCTTTCTTATAGCTGCTCTATCTGCATTGGCTGCAGAAGGTGATGGAGTTGCAGTAATTGGTGATAATTAGGAACTTAAAAGGTGTAAGAGAAAGACAAAGTGTTCCATGAGTTTTGCTCCACACAAGGTATATAATCTGCCTTTAGAAATTCAGTCAGAGGTAACTAAGTTCAGTTAATCATATCTTTTCTTTCTTTAGTTGAATTCCTGGAAGAATAAATATGAAATAGTCAGTGTAAATACCTGAACATTTTTTTTTAAAAAAAAGTTTGAGTTGACTTAGATAAATTCATTTATAATAGTGAATGTTGGCCTCTACAGTTTGGTTTGGAAATTAGAAACATTCCCTTTTAATAAAAGAAAAGAAATTATGTATTATAAATAGAAGTAATACAAGTATCACCTGGAGAGGATATTGTGGGAATTCCATAGCATACAAGACATACACAAAAATAGGAGAAAGTCAAAGAACATGAGGTAGACCCAGGAGAAGATGGAGAGGCAGCCTCAAAGACCCCCTCAACACCATCAAGGAGGCCACCAGAAGCTCAGCAACCAGAACTTTTTCCTCGATACCAAAAGCGGTAAAAGAGGAGGAGGGAGGAGGAGCAGGAGGAAGATAAAGAAGGAGGAGGAAGAGGAGGAGGAAGAGGAAGGAGGAGGAAGAGGAGGAAGGAGGAGGAGGAGGAGGAAAAGGAAGGAGGAGGAAGAGGAGGAAGAATAGAAGGATGTGGAGCAGGAGGAAGAGAAGGAAGGAGGAGGAGCAGGAGGAAGAGAAAGGTAGAGAAGGAGGAGGAGCTGGAGGAAAGGAGGAAGGAGCAGGAGCAGGAGGAAGAGGAAGGAGCAGGAGGAAGAGGAGGAAGGAGCAGGAGGAAGGAAGGAGGAGCAGGAAGAAGAGAATGAGGAGGAGCAGGAGGAAGGAGGAAGGAGGAGGAGGAGCAGGAGGAAGAGGAAGGAGGAGCAGGAGGAAGAGGTAGAGAAGGAGCAGGAGGAGGAAGGAGGAAGGAGGAGGAGGAAGAAGAGGAGGAAGAAGAGGAGGAAGGAGGAGAAGGAGCAGGAGGAAGAAAGGAGGAGGAGGAAGAAGAGAATGAGGAGGAGCAGGAAGAAGGAGGAGCAGGAGCAGGAGGAAGAGGAAGGAGGAGCAGGAGGAAGAGGGAGGAGGAGCAGGAGGAAGAGGGAGGAGGAGGAGGAGGAAGAGGAGAAAGAAGAGAATGAGGAGGAGGAGGAAGGATGAGCAGGAGGTAGAGGAAGGAGCCAATATAATTGAGATATCTTCTGTCTCAATCCTTCTCAGACTGCCTTGCCTTGCCTTGGGTTGGAGACTGCCGAGAGGATGTTCCTTTTCTAGTTTATGCTTTTACCCAACATAGAAAGAAAAGATTTAATCTTCTGCCATCTGTCCCACCAGGGCATCCTCTGTGGAAACAAGCAGCTGATGTGTGAACTTTAAATGGTCTTTTCTCAGCAGAGAAAAGGGGCTTCCGTCATCCGCAGTGATTTTGAAATAGTGACTGATTCACGGGAGGCCAAAATGTCTCCCAAGAAAGGACCCAGTCTGTTTCTTTCGTCTGCTTCCCTTCTCCAGACGTGATTTAGGCAGAAGCAGCCGTAATTCTAGCAACGGCATGAAACGAAGCGGGATTTACAGCAGAAAGTCTGCTCCCTTCCTTTCATGGAATGA